AGAAAATCCAAAAAAATGGAGAACTAAAGACAAGATTCAGGAAGAGTTGCTAAAAACATGAAAGCCAAGCGAAGATGTTAGGAAACCAACATAAACAGGATCTGGATAATTCTTCTTTCTTTTTGACATTTTTGAGCCATCAGAAGCAAGAATAAGGCCATTACAGATGAGATTTTTGAATGGAGGGCGGTTGAAAAGAGCCGTCGAAAGAACAAGAAGGGTATAGAACCAACCACGTGTTTGGTCAATGCCTGAACTTTCATTAACTGATAGCTAAAATATACAAAAACGCTGCTGTAAAGTTTGCCATCAAAACTGAAATTTTTTAGCGTATCACCTTCGGCTATAAAATCTGCTGGGAAATTTTCCTCAAAGCCTTTACGATTCTCAAAGGGATAATGCCTCTGCGCATAAGGCATAGATCCTGATTCGAACCAGCAGTCAAAAACTTCACTGACTCTATGTAAGACACCTCGTCCTGTTTTCGAAGGAATCGTTAAATTATCAACACTAAAAGTATCCAATAAAAGAAAAATAAGAATTGGAAAAAATAAAACTTTACAAGTGAAAATGAAAAAATGTTAGGTTTCGCGATCACAGCCGCCTGCAAAATGTTAAAATTTCTTGTAAGTTACAAAAAATATCAAGACACCAAGATTCTTACTTTTCTCGATGCAAATCTGTCACCTTTACTCCAGTAAGCTTCTCCAGCTCAGCAATTGAAGATGGGCATACAATTTCCTCCAGGTCGTCGCTGACCCACAAGTTTATCGGTGTACCCCAAAACCTATTTCTAGACACAGCCCAGTCACGAGCATCTTTCAGCCAATTTCCGAACCGCTTGTCTTTCACAAAGGAAGGGACCCTGGCAAACAGCAGAGAACCGTTAATAATACAAATAAAGAGAAATTAAACAGAAAATAAATTCTCTTTAGTACAAATCCTGACATTTAGAAGAACAGAAACAAACCAGTAAGTTTTAGAATTGTTTTCAAGAAGAGCTGGAACCAATGACTCAACGCGTATAAACCAGGACGGAACAGCCATATAAAGCAGTGGCGTGTCAGAACGCCAACAAAACGGGTAACTGTGCTTCACCTCACCGTGTTTTATTAAATTACCCTTCTCCTAAACGGCGTT